AGGAGGAGGAGGAGGAGGAGGAGGAGAAGGAAGAGGAGGAGGAGGAGGAGGAGGAGGAGCCTTTAATTAGTAATATCTGTGCAGGTCTTTATTAGCAGTATCTGCAAAAAGTCTCCTTGATTTTCCACCCCAACCACCATTTGCAGAAGAATTCCACTAGAGAGCAGCAGAGACATTGGTAACTTTTAATAATCACACTCCAGGGAGAGACGGGGAGGGAGGGAGGGAGGGAGGGAGAGAGAGAGAGAGAGAGAGAGAGAGAGAGAAAGTCTTTAAACATGGGGTAGAGGCCAAGAATGCCTGATTGTGTATGTATGTATATGCGTGTATGTGTATGTGTGCATGTGTATATATGTGTCTGTGTATTGTGTATGCATGTGTCTATGTGTGTATGCGTGTGTGTATGTATATGTGTATGCATGTATTATGTGTATGTGCATTGTGTGTCTACATGTCAATGTGTCTATGCATGAGTGTATATGTGTATGCATGTGTATGCATGTATTATGTGTATGCGCATTGTGTGTCTACATGTCAATGTGTCTATGCATGAGTGTATGTGTGTATATGTATGTATGAGTGTGTGTGTGTGTGTGTGTGTGTGTGCACTTTTCTGGATTAAGCTGGAGAAAAGCTAACTTCCCGCCACCACGACTAAGTCTGAGGATTCCAATCCAGGTCCTGGGGTGACCGTTAAACATGAGTTGACTTAGAATTCGGGGTGCGCCCAGCAGCCATGGGCTTGAAAGGTCTCGATCCTTCCAGGCACGGCTCACACGACATCGTGTGTGGTGGAATGTCACAGGATCCCTCAGGATCCCTCCGTTCGCTGTCCCCTGTCCCCCTTCCCCTGACCCCTATCCTCGGCGGCCTGCACCCCTCCCCTCTAACTCTTAGACCAGTGGAGGCACCAGGCCAGGTCCCTGCCTGAAGTCCCAGCTAGTCAGGCGGGCTACCAATCATGATTCTCACTTCTCAGCCTCCAGAGTTAGCTGGGATGACAGGCGTGCGTCACTGGTGTCTGCCCTCATCATCATCATCATCATCATTTATTTTCTTGCAGAACAAAGTTGCCACCTTTGTGAATAATCGCGTCGTGAATTCGAGGCAGACTCTGTGTGTTTAAACGGTAAACTCAGAAGGGAGCTGGAACAGTCGATCAGTGTTTTGGATGGAGTTTCTGGGATGGAGTTTCTCTGAACCGGGTCTGTGGTTTTGTCGCTTCATTAGTAATACCCTGATGACTATTTTTCTTTGAACGTCTTTGAATGCTGTCTCAGATCAGAAGGTCTTGGGGCAAACCCTAATTGCTGTCAGGGAAAGCCTCATTTTTCCAGCCGTGGCTCGTGGGCCTTACTGGATTGGCGGGGAGAGGAAAGTTCACGTCCAGCTGGGGCCTGGGGTCTGAAACTTGGATAGGGAGAGAGGGGGGTCAGTAACCCAGAGGAGCCCCTGCCCTCCTCCCCCAAGTCCAGCTGCAGCCGGGGTCGTGGGTTGACCCAGGAGGAGGCGCTTGGTGTGGGGTGAACTGCATCTCGGCCTGGGATGGAGAGCCCAGCCCCCCTGCCCCCCGAGAGACCCCGTCTCCCCCTGCTCAGTGCTGCGCCTGAACTGCGTCACACAGCTGTAATCCATGCTCTGTCACCACTGCCACAGAGGAGTCTGAAGCAAGGGAAGGGATGAGAAGTCCCTTCACACCTGGGGGGGGCGGTGGGCAAGAGGCTGATTGCAGAGCGTTCACCAAGGACAGAGAGCCTGCCTTCCCTCCCTCCTTCCTTCTTTGCTCCCTTCCTCCCCTCCCTCCCTCCCTCCCTCCCTCCCTCCCTCCCTCCTTCCTTCCTTCCTTCCTTCCTTCCTTCCTTCCTTCCTTCCTTCCTTCTTTCTTCGTTCCTTTCCTGGGTCTTGAACTCAGGGCCTGGGCGCTGTCCCTGAGCTCTTTCACTCAAGGCTGGTGCTCTACCACTTTGAGCCACAGCTCCACTCTTGCTTTTCTGGTGTGGTTTATTGGAGATCAGAGTCTCACAGCCTTTTCTTCCCAGGCTGGCTTTGAACCTCCATCCTCAGATCTCAGCCTCCTGAGTGGCTGGGATGACAGGCGTGAGCCACTGGCTCCCGGCCCTTCTTGGGTTTTAAGACTGGGGTAACGCAGGGCAGAGATGCTGAGCGGGCCTCCTGGCTTGGCCTGGCAGGCAGAAGGGGGTGAAGCGGCTGGGTACCTCAGGTCCTTTCGGGAAGGGGCTCCGCCTCCTAACCCACCCTTCTCAGAACGAGCCACCTGCGGAGGCCACCCAGAGCCTTCAAAGTCCTGCCTCCCCTCCCTCCCTCCCCTCCCCGCTCTGTGGTCTCTTTGCAGTTGAACCACAAAGAGGGCATTTTTGTCAGCGCATGGAGAAACCCAGGCTCAGGCCGGCCCAGCCCAGGCGGACGGACCCGAGCCACAGAGCATCACAGAAGGCGGCTTAGAAACATAGAGACTCAGGAACAAGGATCGGGGCCCGTGGGGCCTGTTCTAGAGCCCAGCGGGGTAACAGGCCTGGGAAGACTTCGGCCTGTTCTCCTCCAGCCTCTGCACGGAAGCAGCCACACAGGCCTGGCACCCCGCGCCCGGGCGGGCCCCGGGGCAGGCCCGGACTTGAACTTGACTTTGAAGCTGTCTGGCTGGCAGCACTCGCCGGCTCGATGCTATTTCCAAGTGTGAGAGGAGTGGTATGGGCGTGTGTGGGTGTGTGTGGGTGTGCATGGGGGGGAGGGGGGAACTGTCAATGGTTTTCAAGCACAGATGGTTTATTTGTCCTTCTTGTAGAAGCAGCGGAGTTTTGGCTGGTGGTTTGCTCTGGATTGTTCTAGGGTGGGCCTTCTTCCCCAGCCAGGGGAGAGCGCTTGTCTTTTCCTGTTCTGCTGAGCATCTAGCCACTTGGCACCAGTGGGTGATGCTCATTTACCTGTCATCTGGGGGGGGACAGTCACCCCGTGATTCTA